GCCTTTTTGCCCTGTGAACCTTCAAATGGGACAGAGGTGGTGATATTTAATATGAAGTATGTGTTGGGTGTGTTTCGGAAAATAAAGAAAATTAATTAAAATAAATTAATTAATTAAAATGACGAAAGAAAAACAAGAAAAGAGATGGAGCAGAATTTGTCAAAGCTCGTGCTACGCACGATGTCCTTAAAACGTATTTGTTGCCTCCCTCGGTGCTAGGAGCGTTGCAACAATAGTTTCCCAGGATACGATGACAACGAACTAGTGTTTGAGCACTCAAACAAAAGTTCCAGCGAACGAGAACAAAGACCGAACACAAAGGGAATTTTCCGAATGCTGGAGGGTGTTTTTGAGGTGCAAAACGTGAATGGAGTGTCTAAATTCGTGTGTTGTTGCAAACCATGTGCCAGCCATTATATAGGAGGATTTGTTGTATGAAAATAGTGAATTAATGGACCTGAACGTTGGACATCAATGACCAGTCCGTTGGGCATTGAATTGTCCATGAACTGTCCATTTAACACTGCATTAAAAGATATAAACGTTGGGCATTTATTGCTGTAACGGTTCAGAAGCCATCAGAAGACCCTTACGTAGTTCTGCCCGAAGGCCATCAGAACTGGAGCAGTTCTGATGCGCGGTCATCAGAACCGGAGCATCTCTGCCCGAAGGCCATCAGAACTGGAGCAGTTCCAGTTATGATGCGCGGTCATCAGAACCGGAGCATCTCTGCCCGAAGGCCATCAGAACTGGAGCAGTTCCAGTTCTGATGCGCGGTCATCAGAACCGGAGCATCTCTGCCCGAAGGCCATCAGAACTGGAGCAGTTCTGATGCGCGGTCATCAGAACCGCAGCACCTCTGGTCGTGGCCTTCTGCCCAGAGCAATTCTATCAACTTGGGAAAAATTATACGTTTCGGGAAGAAAACAAAAAATAATCGTATCTCTTGAGAGATAGATTTTTGGACGACATTCGTGTCCGCAGGTCGCCCGCGCACGCAAGTCGCGGTTTTTCTTCTCCGAATTCGGGATTTGATTTGCACCCCCCTACGCGCGGGGAGAGAGCCTTTACCCTTAAGAATCTTAACTCCATAAGGGGGGAGTCCCTTTATAAAGGTAGCAAATCCCTTGGGTTTTCCGGTGTGGGAAATTAACACACTAGAAACCCATCCTTTTTCCCTTCTAACGGGTAAACTTCGAAAAGCGATTTCTCATTCACCCGTTATCCGTTTTGAGCGTACCATATATCGAATTGTAGCCCTTAACAAGGACAATCCGAAACCACTTTGACCCGACCCAAATCGGAAGTGGACCCCACTCAAAGAATTGCCCCAAAATAGCCATTTAATGCAATTTTCCACACATTTTTCCAACAGTATGTAATATAGATTTCTTGTACTTATTTTCCCTAATACTCCCTCTATCCCTTGAACTTTGGCCAAGTTTGACTAGCACGAAGGATAATAAATTAAAAAATGTGTGATTGAGTTTTATGCAGAAGAGGGAGAAAATAACAAGAACCACAAAATAATTGATTGAAAGGGGGTGTATAAGATTCTTGGATTCCGTAAGCCTTATAATACTTTTTTTTTATAATACTTAAATACGAAGTGTATGATTGTATGATATCTCCATTGTTGTTAACTTGTGATATTGTTTCTATTTCAGGGATCTCAGTTTTAATAGCTTCGAGGGAGAAATCCCGTATCATTTACCACGAAATCTATCTCACATGTAATAAAAATATATAATCAACAAATTTGTTCAATATTTATTAATGTTGCTTGGTAATCTGGATTCACACCCATGTGTTAACTAATATATGACAAATGCAGAATATTGGCATGGAACAATTTTACTGATACCATCCCAGGCTCCATTAATACTCTTGAGCATCTTAAGCATCTGTCAGCATATTCTTCACTTGTTAATTCAATAATATAAATCGAGATTGCATTTTTTAATTAATGAATATTTTAATGACAGAAATCTAAGCCACAACCAGCTATCGGGACAACTTGACAATATCTTCTCTCACTTACATAATCTGGAGGAGATGTATGAGATTTATGACATTGTACCATTTTTTAATGTTTCTACTATATTACTAGACTAACATTTGAAGTTTCAGGGATTTATCGTACAACAGTTTCTTTGGGGATCTTCCTCCTTCATTTGAAGATCTTACAAGCCTCAAAAGCTTGTAAGGTTCCCTCCCTCACCCCATTCCCCAATTATTTTATTGTTATTATATACTAGTACTTCGTGTCTTACATTTCTTCAATTTAGAAACTAATTAACCAAGAGGACTACAGATGCCTCCAGAGTAACTTGTTAACGGGATCAATCATTCATTTGTCTGGGCTTCCACTTCAGTATTTGTGAGTTTCATTACTTATATAGTTTTATACATTTTGAGAGTTCAAATTTTGTTTCAATTTTCAATTGTTCTTTTTTCAGGAATATTGAAGACAACATGTTCAGTGGCATTCTTCCTGATCAAATAAGAAATATAAGAAACTTATGGTAAAGTATTAACACCAGTTTGTAGACCTCTTTTGTAAATTCACTAATGTAACAACATTTACATGTGTTTCTTTTTAATTTAAATTTGCAATCAGGTATGGTGGCAATAATTTTGAGAGCTACGCACCACTAATGAACTCACATACCAGTGACACCAGAGCCTGGATCTCTTACCAGATCTTGTTGATATTTCTTAGCTTATTCTCATCATGTATCCAATTGCTTGTCGATATCCAATTGCTGCAATTCTTAGCTTGTTGATATTCAATTGCTGCAATTCTTTTAGTACGTACGAAGTAATATTTTTCTGAAAATTTCAGTTATATGTGTATACTTGTGTTGACAATCAAGTATTCAACAACTACCGCTGAGTTAGCTAGCTTGGAGCAGATATGAAATTCCAATTCCCCCGATTTCTTGCTGGAAATCAGTCCACCCTCATAAATCTTATAGAACTGATTCTCACAGACGGCGCTAATGTTGAGGTTTAGTCCCGTCAATCCGAAAGCGCAACATAAACTTTGGATATTAAGGACGATGGATTCGGTATAAAGTAAATAAATATATATAAACGGGTATGAACTAACTATTTTTACGTGGAAACCCGGAAAGGGAGAAAACCACAGGACTTTTTAGGCTAACGTCCAAGCCCGCTCTTTCTCATTAATATGCTCTCCTCACCATATACATAGTACAAGTTCTTGGGACTCCATTAATGGAGCTAGAGCTATTTCTAAGGAGGAAGAAGTAATACATTGAGGAGGTGAGCCAGAAGAGAGATCTCCTAAATGGAAGCTAAGGCTTCCTATTTATAGGGGTAACCTCCTATCCTAATGGGCCTTAATGGGCCGAAGCAGGCCCATGTGGGTAGGGGATAGCAAACCCGACCCTACCCGATTGACCCGATCGGATATATCCGATTTTATTTTTTGGGTCGGATAACCCGGCCCGAATGACCCAAACCCGATCCGATTTTTGCAACCCGAGAGGTAAGCGGGTAGCGGGTAGGGTTACCAATTATGCTACCCGACCCGCCCGAAAACCCAAACTAGGGTAGTATATATAATACTTTGAATTATTATGCATGTTCAAATATCTCAATTATTGTATGCGAATTATCATATTATTATGCATATTCAAATATTCCAATTGCTGTATTTGTAAAACTATAACTTTGAATGTTGTATTGTTATGATTTTGAATGATATTTTGACCAATTATCATTTTATTTATCACAATATCAAATATGCCAATCACCGTATATTATTATTTCACATGTTAAAATATGTCGATTACCGTATTTATACAACTATTACTTTGAATGGTATACTAGTATAACTTTGAATGATATTTTAACCAATTACCATTTTATTTATCACAATTTCAAAAATAATAACTTCCGAATGGACCCGAAAACCGAACCAACCCGACCGAAACCCGAACTTCTTCAACCCGAAAAAACCGATAAATTTTTTGATCGGGTAAGGTTTGAAATTATCAATCCGATACCCGAACGGGTTTACCATTTTTGAACCCGACCCGCCCGAACCCAACCCGTGCTCTGCCCTACATGTGGGCCTAAATGGTCAGGACAACCCGAAGGGGCCTAAATGGGCCTCGCCGACTGGGTTCCGTACCGGGGCGACGTCTTGGGCCTCTGAACAGCAGTAGGCCGAGGTAATATACCCCAACACCTATAGTTGTTCAAAGGTGTTCACATGAACACCCAAAAAAATCAAATTTTTATATAAAAAACTGCCTTCCGTCGTTTCTAATCAAACCTCACCCCATTGCAGAAGTGTAGTTTTGTTCACTACATCACCCCCTTTCTTCTATGCTTGCCATGTGGCATTTCATCTCAACGTTTTCTTAAAAGTGTTATATCTTTTTTATTTATTGTCTAATTTTCTTAAAAAACGTATGAGATTTTTTAATTTTTTATGATCTTTCCAATGATATCAATACTATATATATAAAAATTGGAAAAAAAATCAAAATTTTCTAATAAATACTCCCTCTGTCTCTAAATGTTTGTCACTCTTTGACTTTTGCGGTCTTCTAGGTAGACGTTTGACCGTAATTATCTATTATTATATACCTATAAAATCTATAATAAATTAACATTTGAATAATACATATTACAAAGAATCACATTAAATAATTTTTAGGGACGGGGGAGTATGTATTTTCAGTTGATTTTATTAATTTTTTAATATGAAATATTAGTACCACATGAAAGATCGGTATACAACGTTGTTTCATATTTGATTAATAGTAAGGTGTTTGGGCTCCTCATGAAAATAATTATCGAAGTACTCCGTAATTATTAGTTGAAGGTAGTAAATTGCAGCCCATTATGGGTTGAAGTGTTGAACTGCACTGAAATTTATCAAGAAACAAATAATACCGTATTTTTATCTCTAAAGAGAAATAAAACCAAAATAGATGTCTATATAAATATAATCATATAGCTGGTGATAAACAAGGTGCCCCGTGGCTGTACTAATTAAGGGCATCATGAATGAGCAGATGCAGATGGATAACTTTTGAATTATTTCTAGCAAAAGTACGTGCATGTTCAGAAATAAAATAAAAAGGCATAAAGAAAAACGAAAGAAAGACGTACAATAAGAAGAGATCATCTATCGAGGGATCATATATAACATCTACTTTAAATCGATGCCATCAGTAATTAAATCGAGCAAAGGCGGGGTGTTTAGTATATGTTCTCTGTATTTTGGAGTGCGGTCTTCGCCTAGATGGAAACAGTCTTGGCGACTATGCTTCGTAGTGAGCAAGCATAAAAGTATTCGCTTGGGATACCAATCAAGTGTGTAATACTTTTCGAAATGTCTCATGACATGGATGAACTCGGGGGTCAGCCTGTCCTCGTAATCGTAAAAGAACAAGAAGTAGCCAAAGTACCCCTTGCAGAATCTAATATTCTCGTGATATTCCAAATCCCATTCCCATTCCGGTTCCTCGTCATCTTTCTGCTCGAGTAACTGCACGACACAAGAATCCATGACCGTCTTCAAGGCGTGGTAATCTTTGTCGGGAATCTCAGTTATGTTATGGAAGGCTCTAAGTTTTGGTAACCACGACCCCTGAGGATTGCAGGCCACCCCGCAACGGAATTGCTGATGAAGGGATGGGAGAGTGAAGCGGCCCGCTGCAAGGCCGATGTTCGTGAAAAGTTGATCGCAGCTGTACATGGTGAGTGCCCGGGCTTCATCGGCGTTGACGATGTTGTCGGGCTGGGGCTGAGGCGAGGAGGGGTTGAGGAATATCTCCACGCACCGGCCCATCATGGCCTTGAGGATTCGGTGGTCGTCCTCCTCCGAACGGACCCTTTCTGCGGCGGCAGTTAATGTTGAGGCTATTACGATGATGGAGATGACGATTCTGCTGGAGGTTAGCGTGGAGGCGGCCATAGCCATATTCCTTACTTTATTTTTGTGTGCCACAATCACACGGATTCGTACTACGTAATATACTCCACAAAATTACTCCGTATATATTAAGGACAGCTAGGGTTTATATATATACGAAGTATCATGTAATACGATTGATGAAGTCCTCCGCGTCATAACAGCCAATAATATCAGTTCCCATCCCACATGAGAGAGAATTTGGGATTTTTGAAACCGTACAATCGTACACATCTATAAATACATGAAAATTGGTTGTAGATATATAGGACTAAAAAAGACGGAATGTGTATTCGTAGGACTCCAAATAATTTGAAACCTGAATTTCTGTGTTTATCCTATTTTGCCCTTAATGACTTGTCGGCACCAATCAGTTTCCCCAACTCCTAACCCTGGGAAACCGATAGCAAACTCCACTGGTGCTACGGAAGATCTGGCCGACCCTACCAGGATGCCAACCTTTTATCAAAATGACAGAGAATGCAATTTTAATGGCATTTTTAAAAATGTATATATGAGATTTTTAATGAATAAGAATGTCATTTTGATGACATTTTCAAAAAAAATAGCAATTGTAACAATCGGATATTATTTACTGAGCCATTAGAACCCCCAGAAGCTCAAGCAAACCACTCAGCTTGATTTCAAGTTTTCAACCATTATTGCCTAATTCAGAGCAATTAAAAAACACAAAGATGAGAAAGAAGAAGCAAAGAAACAACAGAGATGGAGTATTTTGCAGATCGACGGAAAGAAGAGGACCCCAGGGCCTGGCACCACCGCCACCACACCAGATTCGGACGGGAAAATTTTAAAGAAACAGAGTGCAAGGAAGAGGCAGATCTGACGCTTACCTCCGCCGCTGCTCTCCGGTGTGGTGTGGCTGCTCGCCGGCGTTATTTGCAGTTGCTCGCCATCACTTCGAGGTTAAGCCCATCTCGCTGCTAAGCACAGAGATGCCGTATGTTTTATGAGCGTGCAAGGGAGGATATGAGTAGCCGATGGTTGAAATTGGAAGAAAGGTCCTACTTGGGGAATAAAATTATAATATTACTCCTATTTAAAAATTTCAGCAATAATTTAATTCTATTTAGATAATTCCCCCTCGTTAATTTGACAATGATTCCTTATCAAGAAATTGTTCAAAGTATACGTAGTAGTGTAGTACTCCCTATAATAAGCGCGGGTACTAAGTACTCCATAGGATAAAAATTTCAACCGGATAACATTTCTTATTTACATCTGCTAAGTTTTTTATATGCCGCGGTAAAAGTTATAACCTAGGGAGCACAAAAATTTTCAAGAAAGAGTATGATTTCCATTTCGGAAACTTTCGGAAACCCTTCGAAAACTCTCCAAATAAACCTTTTTTGAGTAAAAGTTGACGTTTCCCGTTTCCCGTTTTCTCATGATTTTCGTGTTTCCGTGCATCTTAGATTAGAACAAATTATTTTAGTCTAATTACAGTTACTTCATATTTTTTAGCACAAATCTAAATCACAAAGTTTTAATTTTATTAAGTACCGTGTTTTAATAACTTGACTAAGTTTTAAGGGACAAGAAAATTTAATAATTTATATCGTAAATATATCATAATTTGCATAATATAAATGTACACAATTTGGAATTAATCCTATTCCCTCTGTATTGAAAGGTTAGTTACACTTTTTTTAATTTATTTAAAAGTTTGCGACACTTTCTCTCTTTTTGGTAAGTTTTTTTTTCTTTTAAAAATACTCAATTACTTTTATTTTTTTTTATATATTTTATCTTCTCTTATATAATCCCTCCGTCCCAATTTGTTTTTTGCAAAGTCAACATTTTTTGGTAAACCAATAATCAAAGTCAACTCTCTTTATGCATAATTAATTTAAATTTTAATAAATAAAATTTGCATATTCATAAATTACATCAAAATCTCTTCAAAGTTGTGAGATCCAAATTAGAATATAATTAAAAATAGGCATCATAATTAAGGGAACAAAATGCAACTGTTTGGCCAAGAAAAGTCAAATTTGCAAATCAATTCGGGACGGAGGTGATACTTTTCTATTCTCATTCATATTTTTCTATATTATTCATTATGCCTACTATTTCATCCTTAAATAATATGTTCAAACCTAGTGTAGTGAGCTGTTAAATACACAAAGAATATTATTTTTTTTAAAATTCATATTCAAAATCTTAGAATGACTCAAATAGGAACTTGTATTTATGATTGGACCATATTCTCAAAGGGCTGGAGCACTGCTGCCCCCGGACCGTTGTTGGATGTTTTCCATAATTTTTCCGTCGATCTGTAGGAATTCCGCCGCCGCTAGAGATTAGTGCTACCGCCGGAGTTTACTGCTACGATCGCGGATTGTAGCTAACATTAACAGACTAATCTTGGTTATGTAAGGGAACGAGGGGTGGTTAATTAGGTTAGTTAATTAAAGTAGACGGAGAAATGGAAATGTTAGTCCTTCTTACAATTAAATTCAAAAGATAAAAATATGACTTGTTGTAAAAAAAAAAAGACATATTTAGTGACTAGTCTATGTGGCTCATCATTTACCAGTGCTTATCACTATGAAATACACTATCGTGACTTTTGTCCAGTTACTCGTAGATAGTGATCAGTCATATTTTTGTCCAAAAAATATAAGTAGTCATATTTTCGTCTGATGAAACATTGCTAGTAATATACCTATCACTTATCATGTTTTTAGAAGAATGATACTACCTCTGTCTCAAAATACTTAGCTATCCATTAAAGTTTGGTCGGATCATGATTTTGATTGGTATAATATTATGCAAGTTATATATTTTTTACTTTTATAAATATTTTTTAACTAGAAAACATTTTCACATAATTTATATATTATAAATAATTTTAATAAAAAAAATATAGTTGGGACGGAGTAGTATATTTTAATATTATGAAGAGCAATTTGTCCAAAAAATACTCCAAGATCTTAATAGCTACGGAGTATGTCGCCACTAAGGATGTTTTCTTTTGGACTGAAACTTGCTGATCTGGTCTGGTCTGGTCTGGTAAACGTCTAGTCTTTGTGTATTTTATAACTATGGAAGTCTGGTCTGGTCTCATGCGCGCCTTGAGAAACTTCCCAAAGGGTCAACCATCCCAAGACCACTTCCGTGCAAGCACACCTAACTTGGAGTTCTTAAGAGATGAGCTTCATGAAAAGGAGATGCATTTTGTTGGTATGAGTAGTACTATTAATCCGTTTAAATTAAATCTCAAGGAGCGTTTACTTCGCTGCTAAAGTCACAGTTAGGTTAGTAACGCAGGTGAAGTAAACACGCACGCTGCTTAAAAAGCCGCTTACTAACCGAAATAGGTGCTTAAAGTGCCGCTTACAAAGCCTACCACACCCCCATGTATTAATTAAGCGGCACTTTAAGCTTTTTCGGTTTCCGAATTTACCCCTTACCCTTACCCTATTGTTACCCCTGCCCCACCTACCGAGCCCACCTTGACCCCAACCCCACCTACCCTACCCCCTCTATCCCGACCCCACCCCTACACTACCCCAAACCCCACCCCTACCCCACCCCTACCCTACCTAATGACCCTACCCTTACCCTTACCCACATACCCCACCCCTACCCCTACCTTACCTACCCGACCCCACCCTACACGTACCCCACCTACCCGACCCCACCTTACACCTACCCTACCCTGACCAACCCTTACCCACATACCCACCCCTACCCTACCTAACCGACCCCCACCCTACCCTTACCCCACCTACCCGACCCCACCTTACCCCTACCCTACCCTGACCCAACCCTACCCCATCCTAACCCCACCCTACCACTACCCTACCTACCAGACCCCACCCCTACCCTACCTACCCGACCACACACCTACCCCACCCCACCCTACCCCTACCCTATCCGACCCTACCCCTACCCTACCCTGACCCTACCCCATGCAGCGTGGGGTCGGGTAGGGTAGGGGTATGGTGGGATCGGGTAGGTAGGGTGGTTGTCAGGGTAAGGTAGTTTAGGGGTAGGGGCGGGGTTGGGGTAAGGTAGGGTAAGGTGGGGTCAGGGTGGGGTCGATGTGGTAAAGGCCTATGGGGGTAGGGGCCTATGGGGTCGGGGGTAGGGTCGCGGTAGGGTGGGGTCGGGTAGGTAGGGTAGGGGGTAGGGGGTAGGTGGGGTCAGGGTAAGGTAGGGTGGGTAAGGGGTTAGGGAGTATGGGTACACATATTATATTATATACTTGTGTTCATGAATGTTTGTGTGTATATACTATATATATGTATATGGTTATTTTGGACATTTTAATGTTAAGCGATGTTTAAAACCGTTTGAAGTAAACACGGTCTTACAACATTGTTTATTTTATGCGCCGCTTATTAACACGGGTCTTAATAAGCACCGTTTAATAACCGGTGAAGTAAACATGTCCCAAGTGTTACAGCGGGCCTCTGGCCGATGCGGCCCATGGCCGACGCGGGTTCCATTATGTCTTCAGGCGATCTTTTGGACACTTGCTGCCACTCTCTGAGCTGACAGGCAGACAAAGCGAAAGGCAACACTCTTCTGTTCGTTTTGAGACGAAGAGGATCCTACTTTGCTATGCTTCGTTCCTTGTTGATAGGCCAATGCACTACTTTGTTGTTTTTGAAAGCTGGGGGTGTCTCATCAATTCTTCGGCCGAAGCGATGTCTTTCTCTGTGGGATGAAGTCTGAGTTGTATTTTAAGGACGATGTGGGTCATGTGTTGTTCCTTTTTTATGCGAAGGGCCGAAATGTAATTAATGCATTAACATATTGTTTTTAGTTTAATAATATTAAATGGACGTTAGTTAATTTTAGCGAATTTTAGTGAAATTTAATATATAAATGTTCATAAACATTAAAAATTATTATTAATGTTTATGAATTAATGCCATTAACGTAATAATTTAGGTCTTGTTTGGCAATCGGCTATTAGTTATTAGCTTTTAGCTGGTTAGGGCAATGATGAAATGATGTCCTTGCATTTTGCAATGATCACAAAAGTACATCATTCTTTTATTGTAAGCCTGTTGTTTAACATTTCCAGCATTAAACTGAGCGTAGTTCTCATTATATTTCCAGACTTTCCAATGCTAGAGTTATATCCAGATTTTGTAGAATTCCCAATGCTATAACCTCTACCAAACGTCTTGTTTGCAGCGAAAGCCACGTTCTCAGAATTCATTTTTCCTTCATCAAAAAATTCTCTTTGTGTCTCATCTTGAGTGATTATGTTATAAGCAGTGTTTACATCAGGTAAAGGATCAAGCATCAATACATTTCCTCTAGCAGTTTTGCAAACACTGTTCAGGCCCATTAAAAACTTCACAAGTCTTTGTTTCTTGATCATCTTTGAAATTTGAGAATTGATATTGCAAGTACATAATCCACATTTGCAACTAGGCATTTGAACAACACAATCATATGCATCCCATAAACCTTCCAGCTTGGTATAATTTGCAGAAACAGATGAAGAACCTTGTTCCATTCCATTTAACTCTTTCTCTATCTGAAGAATTTTAGGCCCGCTATTCTGACTGAATCTATTATTCAATTCCTTCCAGACATCTTGAGCAGTATTACAGTATAAAACACTTGAAGATATCGATTCCTCACAAGAATTTAATAGCCAAGAGATTACCGTTTTGTCACAACGTTCCCATTGTTTGCCCATCGCGACATCGGATTCAAGTTTCTTGAAGTGACGTCACTTAAGTCATTGTGTGCCTCAAATTAAATTCACTACTAAGGGCTAATACCGTAGTATAGCGTAGTAGAGTTCGTATCCACAGGGAAAGGAGCTTTTCGCATATGTATAAGCGTAATAAATAAAAGTAAACGAAAGGGGGAATTGGGTATTTTGATAATTGAGTTAGCAAATTAAAATACTAAAATGAGTGAAATAAAATATCAAAGGTAGTCAGCCTTGGTTTTGCTAATTTTCACTTAATGAAATGTTCGTCAATCCCGGTTATATCTTTAACTATCTTCCTCTCGAATACTCAATCGAGGAGTA